ATATATATTTGTGTGTGTGTGGGCCTGTTTGTGGGCGCGCGCTTCTTTATATCGAAATTTAAATCATAACAACTTGCGTCGTAATATAATTATGTGTCTGTTTTTTTTCTAAATTTAGTTCAGGCTAGAATTCAACATTCTACATCTATTTTTTACAATTAATATTGACGAACAAATTTAGATCCGAACACAACAACACTACTCATGAGCCGAACACAAACTCGCTCAAAATCGGCTCGTTTACCACCCTAATCAGTGTATGAGTAGTAAGGACTTAATTTGGGCCCAACACACTTGACTGACGGTCTTACAGTGCATCAATAACTGGCTTAACGGGCCGTTACGGATTTAGCAGGCTTTGTGTGTTTGGAAGCACATTTTTCCAAAGCCCAAAACCATCATGTTCACTTTACTTTAACTCGGAGCAAGTAAATAAAATCATTATAACATTGGTATTTAAAATTTTTGTGTTGTATTTAAAATATAAATATATTTTTTTTTAATTTTAAAAATCATTAAAACTAATTTCAAGCCAAATGCGTGCCAAAACAAATATATAAATTTGAAATAAGTTGAATATAAATATAGTATCCACAAGCTATTCGTACATGAGCCGATGTCTGGCCTGTGGTCGGCTCGTTTACACCCTTATACATACTAACAATGAGCTTTTTCAACATCACCCACCCATCACGATATTCCCTTCTTCAAGGTTCAACACCTTTGCCAAACCTAGTTCATCGAGGAACTTATTTGGCTACAATTTTTAAAATTTCCATAAATCTAGCGTCAATAAATCTAAGATGTTTAAATTAAAAAAAAATGTGTGTTAATCATGATAACTGTTTGGGACAGCTTTCTGTGTGCTTTGTGTTTCAGACTACCACCACAATTAGGTTTTAAGAATTACTTTTTTGCAGTTTTCTAGAAATTTTTATGATGAAAATCTATTATTTTTCAATTTGATATGTTATAGTGTGATGACTCTAAGAATAATGTTTCATGAATTTCTAGAAAAAATATATATTCATAATTTCCACCACCGTAAATTTCTAAAAAGCTATTTTTGTTCGCCATAATTTTTCAACCAGGCTCAACAAACCTTAATTGACCCGCGCGAAACAGTTTGATAACTTATTTCAATTTTTAAATGTGTTAGTTGATGTATGAGTTTAATATCATATTTTAATAAAACTAATTAAATTTAGTTTAAATTTTTTTATTTATAATTATGCTAATTAGTAATTAAATGCTTATTCAACTAACTAATCATTAATAATTAGGGGTTTTTACTTACATGAAAGATGAAACTTTGATATTTACATATATTTATCACGTCAAACTTCATACTTACACGAACAACGCTCTAATAATTATTTCATTAAATTAATTTTTTTTAGGTAACAATATAACATCCATTAATTAATATTTGATTATTTATTTATTAACTTAATTTTAAATTTTTAGCATTTTGTTAAATTAATTATATTTTACAAAATAATTTAGGGCCAATTTGGGGGAAAAAAATGCGTACGATAGATGTACGCAGCGCTGCGTGCGATTTCGAGATTATAGGGAAAATATAACGGGGTTATACCCGTGTTATAATCCCTTGTAACCTTTATGTAACCTTCTGTAACTTACTTGTAACCTACTAATAAATTCTTAATATATGATAACAGAAGCGCGGAACTTATTTGTAGGTTATTCTGGAACTTACACTAGGCTACATAGAGGTTACAAGGGATTATAACACGGGGTATAACCCTCTTATACCCTCCCTATAACCTCGAAATCGCACGCAGCATTGCGTACGTCTATCGTACGCAAATTTTTTCCCAATTTGGGGCGGCTTATTTGGTGCGGTGGTGTTTTGAAAACACACCTGACCTATTTAGATAAACTGCTATTTAGCAGCTTATGCATTTTCAAAATGCTGAAAATAGTGTTTTCGTACCGCACTTATCTAAGTACGATCGTAGCTTTCTGGCTTTGATATAAATTTTCAAAAAAAATTAAAAATTTATAATAGATTATGAGCAAATTTTTATTCAATAAGCTACAGCGGCTAGAAAGAGCCCCTTAGTTTTTGTAAATTAAATATTATATAATTAAAATTAAATATATCTAATTATAATTAATTGAATACCATTTTAATTAATTAATACTTATGACTAAATTAATTATTAAAATTAAATTAAAGCCACAAAACCATCCCCGACGGCCTTCGTACCCGAAAGCTGGCGAGTCGCGATACAGCAAGCAACGGCAGGGGATCGCGGAACTCTCAAAGCTCCCATCTTTCTCCTCCTTCTACCGGAAGCCATTGAGGAAGGTAACCCTCGTTTTCTCTCCCTTTTCCCCCACGCCTTGGCGCGCTTCAGCTTCTCTATAAACCCTAATCCGCCTTCCACTGAGATTCACCAAATCCTCGATTTTAGCCAAATCGGAGGAAAAACGGGATTCAAAGATGTCATTTTTGCTGTTTGGCAGGATTTAGGCGTAAATCCAGCTCAAATCCTGCTACCAAACATCCCCGCAGTTTCCGATTCCAAAAATCCACTCGCTCTCTGGTTCTTCAACGTTAATGGCAAAGGAATTCAACGTACCGCCGGTGGTTTTCCCATCTGGAGCGAGCGCTAGTCTCCCCCATCAACGGCGGGGGGCGGCGGC